TGCGTGGAGGCATGGTCACCTGGAAAGATTTGCTGATAGCACTCCATGCCACGCTGGGCTGAGCAAACAGGAAGGGGATTTTTAAAATTCCCGGGGAATGTAAAGGGTCGGTCACATGGTTGGTTACCTGAGGCCAGGGCAGTAGAGTTTGAACTGATGGCCAGAGTGGTTAGAACAGGCATTGTGGGATACTGTCGAATAAGTCTGGAGGCCATTCACAGCGCTGCACTCGCTATTCCTCTCGGAGAGGTGGAGTACATGCAGCGCTGCAACCAAGGAGATACAGCGTTGCAAATGCCTTGCCAGTGTGGACGGGGAGTGAGTTACAGTGCTGGGGGCGGCTTTACAGTGCTGCAACTCGCAAGTGTAGCCAGGGCCCTAGAGGTTTATTGTTTAGACTTGTATAAACCTATCTTCTTGTTTGCATTAAGTTATATTCCTGTCTCTTTCCCCACCCAGGATACCCTTTTGCCTTGTTCCAGCGCTATTTCCTCTTCCAGAAGGAGGTCTACCTCATTCACCTGTACAACACCCTAACAGGGCTCTCAATTGCCTACTTCAACTTCGGTAAGAGGGATATGGGGAGAAATGGGCTGCTTGGCTCAGAGCTTGCTGCAGTTTGAGAACCTGTGGTGAGGAGCTGCTGTGTAGTTCAATTCTCAGTCCATCTGTCTCCACAGGGACACAGTTCACTCACTCCCTGCTGTGTGTCCTGATCCAGTTCCTCATACTGAGGCTTATGGGCCGCACAATAACTGCTGTCTTGACCACCTTCTGCTTTCAAATAGTAAGTGCCTCCTTCTTCTCTGCATTCATCTAGAGTGGGAAGCCTGCTGCTGCTACCCAATCCTTTACTTCCCAGTAGTGAGCGTGGGAGGGGATAGAACAAGTTTTGCTGGAGTAGTCAGCCTGAGTAATCCATACCATGGTCTCTTTCAGACATACCTTATGGCTGGTTATTACTTCACTGCCACAGAGCATTATGACATTAAGTGGACCATGCCACACTGTGTCTTGACTCTCAAGCTGATTGGTGAGTGATGCCACCTATTTCCTTCCTTTACACACACCGTGTATATGCTTTCCACCACTCCTGCCCCAAAGGTGAGGAGGTGTTTAAATCCTTAGTGGTTCAACCCTATCCTTTCAAAGATGGTCTCAACGTAATTCTGATCTCTCTATCTCTAGGCTTGGCCATCGATTATTACGATGGAGGGAAGGATTTGGTGAGTGAAGCCCCATCTCTCTCCTCTCCCACTTCTTTCCTGTGAGCTGAAGGCAGAGGAGTCAAGTTCTGGGGAGAGAGTCAAAGAACTCAATCCCCAGCTCAGCAAAGCCATGGCTCGGAGGGTGCATCTGTGTGTGTATAAGAGGCATGAACCCCAGAGTGGAAAGGGATTGTCTGGGACAATAGTAATCACAGCTGGGGCTAGCCACTTCAGCTCTGGGATCCATGACAGGATCGTATTCTCTCCCCAGTCTCATAAAATCCATTTCTCAGGGCTTCTAGTTCCCCATGTCCTGAACAGTGGGGCCCTTCCTTTGGGGAAATAGTTTTACAGACATCTCAACACTGGGTAAGACTTCCTGTGCTCCTTTCCCTTGGTTCAGTCTCATCCCTGTTCTCCCCTCTTCAGTCCCATAGGGTTCCTACCCCTGTAGATGACCTGCCCCTTCCCCTTATTCCTTGTTTAGGGTGTTGGGACCAGGACCCTAGCAACTTGGGAGCAGTCACCCTATCGCAAAGTAGGGTGTGAGAAATACTGCTTCCTTATGGAGGAAGAGAGACTAGAATCTCTGCTGTTGTCTCCTAATCCCCATTCTAACATATCGCTTGCATGTCTACTGTTTGGGGCTTCGCCCTGTCCCCCAAGCAGACAAATTACCACTGATAATAAGAGAACATGGTTCAGTTGAGACTTCCAAGGTGAAGTTCAAGCAGCAAAACTAGTGAGTAGTATAATGGGCTTGTGCCCCAGGAATATATCCTTCTGCTGGGAAGTGTGGACCCCAGCACTGAAGCTTTGTATGAGTTGGGGTGTGTGCATGCCACTGCAGCCTAGAGGAGACTAGGAGTGCAGCTCCTACTGCACTTGGCATGCTGGAGGGGACGGGTGCAGTTCCCCTTGTTGAGGGATCAGCTGGGAGCGTGGATCCCCATGATTGGGCTTTGAATGCAGATACTGTTGCTGTTGGGAGCCGGAGGCTTGTATCTTAATCAATCAATGAACTGGTGAGACCTTTGAGTGTAGCAGTTTATAACTCAAACCAGAGGGGAGATGGATTGGGGGAGTTAAATCCATGATTAGTCTAGGGAAATGTTAATGTCGCTCCCTTTGATACAGGGGTCCCTGAACCCTGAGCAGAAGCGGTTTGCAGTCCATGGAGTTCCTACCTTACTGGAGGTCTCGGGTTTCTCCTATTTCTATGGTGCCTTCATGGTGGGGCCCCAGTTCTCCATGACAGACTATCAGAAACTGGCAAGGAGCGAGATGACTGATGTTCCAGGCCAAAGACCCAACAGGTAACCAGAGCCACTCTGGCCCCCTCCCTCATGAGAGCCCCAAGCATCCTTTACCTAGATGGCAGTACATTGCCATCTAGCACCACACTGGATCTCAGGGTTCAGTACTGACTCTCAGGGGGATGCAGCCTCCAAAGACTCCCCTACAAAGTTGCCACAATGCAGCACCCTCCTTAGCACTGCTCTTGGATATTATTATTTTGTTCTGAGTCTGCAACACTCAATGCAGACCCAGCCCAAGCCTGGTGGGGTGTTGATCCCAGTTCCCAATGAGGGTGGCCACTGCAGTGGATCCTCCTTCAGCCCCATCTGAGCCCTTAGCTCCACTTCTTTTTTTAAATTCTGTTCAATTTGGGAGTCTTGAGTTTCTTTGCAACATTTGACTTCTGATCTCCACTTTCTCTCCCCCCCTCCCCCCCCAGCCTTGTGCCTGCTGGCAAGCGCCTTACCCTAGGCCTCTTCTTTCTGGTAACCTATACCCTAGTGAGCCCATACATCTCTGATGAAGACCTCATCTCTGATGCATACCTGGTAAGTACTAGTGTTAGTAGTTAGAGCTGAGCTTTAGAAGCTAATCTATTCCTGTAGGTGGCACCAGCTACTCAAGACAGGAATTGTAAAACTAGAAAACTAAGTGAAAGGACTTTTAAGGATTGCCTAGTTAAATATTACAGAAGGGTCAGTAACTGCAAATGTTAAACACCCCCCACTAATTCAGTGGCATTGCATGCCCGGGGGGTTGCATTTAATGACGAACATGAATACTGAGTTATAAATTGAACAAGAAACTTAGTGCAATCCAGTTACTGTTGGAACCATTTATATTTCCTGATCATTTAATGATTAACCGTTAATCATTATCGTAACAAAGTTCTTTGCATATAGTTTCCTAGGATTTTTTATACTTAAAAAAGGTAAAGAAGAAATCATGAACCATATATTTTCAAGACTTCACAAACTAAGCATTCCCTAATGCCAACACAACAATGAAGGATCCACTCAAGGTCCTGCTTGTTTGTCAATATTGTTGCTTAAAAAAATAAAGTAGTGACTTTACTCAGCAGGTCCAGCTCACTCTGCAGGTTAACTCACTTGAGTTTGAAACTGATCTGACTTTTTGAGATCCTTGGAGAAATGGCTGATTTCTCCCTCAAGTTCATCAGTTTTTCTACATAACCAGGAACAAACAAGGACTTTAAAATTTAGAAATAAAAATATTAACTAGGACTGTCGATTAATCGCAGTTTACTGATGCGATTAACTCAAAATTAATTGTGATTAATCGCAGTTTTAATTGCACTGTTAAACAATAGAATACCAATTGAAATTTATTAACTATTTTGGATGTTTTTCTACATTTTCATATCTATTGTATTCTGTGTTGTAATTGAAATGAGTGTATATTATTTTTTATTATAAATATTTGCACTGTAAAAGTTATAAACAAAAGAAATAGTATTTTTCAGTTCACCTCATACAAGTACTGTAGTGCAATCTCTTGGATGTGAAAGTGCAACTTACAAATGTAGAATTTTTTTGATACATAACTGCACTCAAAAACAAAACAATGTAAAACTTCAGAGCCTACAAGTCCACTCAGTCCTACTTCTTGTTCAGCCAATTGCTAAGACAAACAAGTTTGTTTACATTTACAGGAGATAATGCTGCCCTCTTCTTATTAACAATGTCACCAGAAAGTGAGAACAGGCATTTGCATGGCACTTTTGTAGCTGGCACTGCAAGGTATTTACGTGCTAGATATCCTAAACATTCGTATGCCCCTTCGTGCTTCAGCCACCATTCCAGACGACATGCTTCCATGTTGATGACGCTTGTTAAAAAAATGCGTTAATTAAATTTGTGATTTAACTCCTTGGGGGAGAATTGTATGTCCCCTGCTCTGTTTTACCAGCATTCTGCCATATATTTCATGTTAGAGCAGTCTCGGATGATGACTCAACACATGTTGTTCATTTTAAGAACACTGTCACTGCAGATTTGACAAAACACGAAGGTACCAATGTGAGATTTCTAAAGATAGCTACAGCACTCGACCCAAGGTTTAAGAATCTGAAGTGCCTTCCAAAATCTGAGAGGCATGAGGTGTGGAGCATGCTCTCGGAAGTCTTAAAAGAGCAAAACTCTGATGCAGAAACTACAGAACCCAAAAGAAAGCTGCTTTGGATTGTTATTGAGCAGAACCCGTCATCAGCACGGACACATGTCCCCTGGAATGGCAGTTGAAGAATGAAGGGACATATGAATCTTTAGTGCATCTGGCACGTAAATATCTTGCAACGCTGGCTACAACAGTGCCATGAAAACTCCTGTTCTCACTTTCAGGTGACAATATGCCCAAATAAATTTGTTAAGTCTCTAAGGTGCCACAAGGACTCCTCGTTATTTTTGCTGATACAGACTAACACAGCTACCACTCTGAAAACTGTAAACAAGAAGCATGCAGCATTATCTCCTCAAAACTTGTTTGTCTGAGCTATTGGCTGAACAAGAAGTAGGACTGAGTGGACTTGCAGGCTCTAAAATTTTACATTGTTTTATTTTTGAATGCAGTTTTTTTTGGTACATAATTCTACATTTGTAAGTTCAACTTTCATGATAGAGATATTGCAATACAGTACTTGTATTGGGTGAATTGAAAAATACTATTTCTTTTGTTTTTTACTATGCAAATATTTGTAATAAAAAATCAATATAAAGTGAGCACTGTACACTTTGTATTCTGTGTTGTAACTGAAATCAATATATTTGAAAATGTAGAAAACATCCAAAAATATTTAAATAAATGTTCTGTTATTGTTTAACAATACGATTAATCATGATTAATTTTTTTAATCGCTTGACAGCCCTAATATTAACCCTAAAATGCTTCTGAAATGGCTATGTTACTGCTCCAGATGGTATGTGGCTGTAAAATAGTTGGATTACAGGAGGTTAACTATTCTTAGCCATATAAAATTGAGCATCTCTCCTTTAAACACTAGTTCAGACTAGCGAGATGAGACCTCACATGGTCAGATCTAGCAATGCTGTGTCTCAGTACTGCTAGCTAGCTCGATATTTAGGGTACCTGAGCTCTTGGGTTCTCTGAAGTCACAAATGTGAATCCTTCCACTGGCCTGCTTCACTAGGGGCTATCCTCCATGATCCAGGAGATGTTGTGCTAGAGCTAATATAACACCTGGACAGTTTTCAGCCACCATTTTTTTTCTCCTGGGTTCTCTTTGTATCTCTGCAGGAACAGCCTTTCTGGTTCCGATGCTTTTACATATTGATCTGGGGCAAAGTGATACTCTACAAATATGTCACCTGTTGGCTTGTCACGGTGAGTCCAGAAGGGGGATGTGCCCTGAAAAAAACTCCCCTTTTAACTTGACTAGGACAGATGCATCAGAGCAAGGAACTTTATAGTTGCTCTGCTCAGCCCTCCTTCACAGGGACTGCTGTGACAAAGAGCTGGTTGGGAATGTTTTGACAAAATAGATTAATCAGAAAATGCTGATTCGGTGAACCCAAAACTTCTTGTGAAATGGGGAAAACTCTTGACATTTCATATTTTCGTAGGATGGGAAAAGTGAGCACACACACACACACACACCCCCGCTTTAGTTGTGGGGCGTGAGACATAATAGCCAGACAAGGGAGTTGAAGTATCCTGCTGCTACCCAGTTCTGCCCTTCCTAGCCAGTAGGGAGGCAACTTGTAACAGTTCATCTCTGCCATTACCAACAGTAGGCATTGTGCCATTGTGGGGGAGGAGCCTATAACTGCCCAACTCTGACTTCTCCAGTAGGAGGTGCTGCTTTTCCTTGATATGTGTAGTTTCTCACAGGAAGGAGTCTGCATCCTCGTTGGCCTTGGGTATAATGGCCGAGATGAGAGTGGGATACCACAGTGGGACGCTTGTGCCAACATGAAGGTTTGGTTATTCGAGACAACACCCTTCTTCACGGGGACCATTGCTTCCTTCAACATCAACACCAATGCCTGGGTGGCTCGGTGAGCAGGGGGCCTTTCACAGTCAGAGCACCAGTCTCAATCTAGGCCCAGGCCAGAAGTTGGAGGGCTTGCTGGGGCAGGGATGTTGGGAATGGAGTATGAAGCCCTTTGTCTCTAGAGCACTGGTTCCAGTGTGGCCCCAAAGCAGTTGTGATGGAAAGTTTTTTCCTCTCTCATGATCCTTTGAAATGACTTGACCCAGCTCCTGGTTGGACAAGTGCTCAGTCATGCAAAGTATTCACCTGCCCCAGCACTTGAGTACTCTCAGCAGGTTGGCCTCCCCTCATTAGTGCTGCTTGTCCCACTGAAGGGATACAGAGGCCTTCAGTCTCAGAACACGTCCCCAGTGTGCAGAGGGGAAAGGAGCTAATCAATCACAACTGCATTAAATTTCTCTTCTTGGCTCCAGTTACATCTTCAAACGGCTGAAGTTCTTGGGTAACAAGCTTCTGTCACAGGCATTGGCCCTGTTCTTCCTGGCTGTGTGGCATGGGCTGCACTCTGGCTACCTTGTGTGCTTCCAAATGGAGTTCCTTATAGTCATCGTTGAAAGACAGGTATGCTGTGTCTGGTATATTAGCAGGGGGATGGCTTGTGATAGCCAAGGCCCCGTGGTTTCTAAAGACCCAGGAGTCTGTGGTAACTTTGGGAAACTTCCACACTGGAAGCTTTACCTGAATTAAATATAAAATTGATCTGTCCCTTATGTTTCTGCATTTTACACCATATTGTTTACTCTTAAGTAGACTGCTGGCATCTGTGTGGACAATCTGTAATTCCATCATAGAAGATGTCAGGGAGGAAGCCAGTTTGGCATATGGGTAGGGGGCAACTGAGGCTCTGGACACTTGGGAAGCTTGCAAGCACATGATCTGGTTGCATCTGCTAAAACTATCAACAGTGAAATAGTTTATAGTTGGGCTGTCTAGTGATTAAAACATTAAAAAAATTAAAAAATCACAGTTAAAACAACATTAGAATACCATTTATTTATAAGGGGGGGGGGGGGCGTATTTTCAAATAGAGGGTCAGGGCTGGGGCCTCTGGGCTTCAGCCCGCCTCCCCAGGGGAAGCTGCAGGCCGCTCCAGTGCAGCACCCCCTCCAGCCGTTGTGCCACCTCCAGAGCTGCAAGCTGGGGCTTCAGCCCCCTGCTGCTGATGCCTTCCACCCTGCCCACAGGTATGTCATTAATGTTTTAATTGTGGTTTATTAATGGCAGGCATTACCTGCAATTGACAACCCTAGTTTACAGCTAATCTCTAAGAATCATATTAAAACTCTACTGAACTTTTTTCAGAGTCATTGTTTGACTGTCTGCAGTCTGACAACACTACATCTTTCAGAGCATAGAGGCCAATTCTGTCTATGATCACTGAATGCACGGGGCCCTGTGTGTAATGCATACAGATGTCAAGTGACAGTAGGAATATCATACTGACCACTCCTTCCTTTTTTGTCAGGCAATCACCCTAGTGCGGGACTCTCCTGTTCTGAGTGCTTGGGCCTCCATCACTTTCCTGCAGCCTCTCTACTATGTGCTGCAGCAAACCATCCACTGGATGTTCATGGGTTACTCACTGGTGCCATTCTGCCTTTTTACCTGGGACAAGTGGATCAAGGTACATAAAAACCTTGAAAGGGCAGCAAGATTTTGGGGGACAGGAGAGACCACCATGCAAGCTAATCATTAATCCCCTCTCTCTCCACACAGGTGTATAGCTCTATTTATTTCCTAGGCCACATGATATTCCTCACCTTACTGCTTGTGTTGCCTTACGTCCGCAGAGCATTTGTGCCACGGAAAGAAAAGCTAAAGAAAGCAGAGTAACAGCCAAAAGGTGAGACTTACAGAGTGGGGCAGGGAGACTTGAGGCCTAGAACAGCAAAGGTACAGGTCAGGATTGAGGGATAACCGATGTCAATGGGGGCTGCTTTATTCCTAATTTTGCCTGTTGTCTCCTTTCAGTTTGTACCATGCGTGAACCGGCACAGGTGATGGACTCATCCCGTGCTGAAGCATCACCTGTCAAGTTTGCTGTGTTCAAGTTCAACTGTTCTGTCAATGTGATGAGGGGAACAGAGAGTACAGGGTCAGAGACCCACTAGTGAGGAGTGCAGAGGGCAATGCCCCTCCACTTTTCACACCCTCTACATGTTGCCTTATCTCTCTGCTGCCCTCTGGTGGACACTCCTTTATGCTGACTTCAAATGATTGTAAAGCACTAAACACCACCACTATGTGGGGATGGAACCACCTCTGAATTTTCTACTTCAGTCATCCCAGATAAAAATTGTTCCCTGTTTTTTTCCCCTCCCCACTCCTGCTTCAGCTGCTTTTTCTGGTGAGTGGGAGAGGTGAAACCTCCTCCCCAGGGAACAGTAGGTCCAAGGAATGTTAAATATCTGCTGTGGGAGACCTCTCTGGCTCATGTTTATCAGGCTATGGTTGAGTGACAGTTACTCTTGACTGCGCTATCCACTGCAGCTGAGGAATAGGTTTATGGTAGCAAAGGTCATAATACAGACACAGACCCTCTAGCATCTCTCCTCACCCCTTTACTCACCTGCAGTTAAAAAATTCACAGCACAAAAATGCATTTTTATCAAAAGTAATTTTAATATAAGGAGAAAGAACACCCCCAGAGGGGTGCCCATTGGCCTCTCACCATGGGAGCAGCCTGCATGGAAGGAAAGCTCAGCACGGTATGCCTTGAACTCTATCACTGAGCCTTCAGGCAAGGTTGACTCTGCTCTTTACACACACAAGTAGAAAAATAGCTGCCAAGTCTAGAAAGATCAGAGTCCTACTCCACAGAGCCAATTATGGAGGGCTCACACCACCCCCCATGCCTCCTCAAAGGCTGTGGTGATCTTGGCACAGGTCAGGGCAGCAGAGAGGGGATAGTTGCTGATGGAGATCATCTTCTCTGTATAGTTAACATTCAGCTGGGGAGAGAGAAGAATGAGGGGGGAAACAGGAAATCCATGTTACTATCCAGTCAGTTAATACCCCCAACCATTGACAATACCACTGCACTTCCAGTACTTATCACACTATGTACTGCAATCCACCCAAAACTGATATGCACCCACCCTTGAAGCAGGACAGTTACTAACTCATAACATCTTGTATCCAGGTGAAGCAGGTGGGCATGGGTGTGGCATAAGATCATAAAATTTCAGTGCAATTCTGGGAGAGGAATTGAAAGGGAATACCCCCTTAACATAAGCGATCATGCAGCAGAGCACAGGCCTTGCATCAACAGCATCCCCTCTAGTGCAGGAAAACCATGATCTATAATGAAAAGGAAACAGTCCCCTACTTCCCATGACAGGTCTACTGCTCCACCAGGCTATCAGTGATGGGAGAAGAGGTGTGTCAGCCATCACTACCCTTACCGAGCCATGGGCAAAAGCTCCCACAACAATTGCAACAGGTTCTGCAGTGGGAACCAGTTCACGCACATCTGTCACGTTGGGGACTGAGAAAGAGGTGCCTATCTTCATGCAGCCCACAGGGAGATGATCAGTCACTGGATTCTTGATGACCTGCATGGGAAAACACATTTAGCTTGAGGTTTAGAGGTGAGATCTTGGGGCTCAAAACAACGTTTCTGTACAGCAGCAGAGGCTCACTTCCTAACACATCCTCAGCCCTTACAGAGCACCACAGAGTCATTAAGTTCCCCCTCAACAGTTAGGAATAGAAACTTACCTTCAACAGTTTCTGGGGCCCATCGGCTGCACGGACACTGAGTTTGTGTAGCAGCTGAACTGGTAGGAGAAGAAGAGAACCAGGAAATTCTCATGTGCCAACATTAGAGTACCTATTCTGCAGCAAGCTGAGTTGGGAAAAGCCTCAAGTTTCATGTCTGAGCCTCCTAATTTCCAATGCAGAACCTTCCCTTGGGGCAGCACCCCTGAGGCTCAGACCTGGGCTACTTTCTCTCATCCCACTCTCCCAAACTATGGCTGTGGTTTACATCCCCAGACTTGCAGAAGGTTCTTCTGCTCCGATAGGTGCAGCTTCACCACAGCAAACAGACACAGGGTGGGTTGGTTTGTTATTGCCTTCCTCTGCAGCAGGGTCAACTCTTAGTTTTAAATTACTGTAAATGGTGGATTTTCTGTAACAAACTCTTTAAATCATGATTTGAGGATGTCAGTAACTCAGCTAGAGGTTATGGGTCTATCTCAGGAATGGGTGGGTGAGGTTCTGTGGCCTGAAATGTGCAGGAGGTCAGACTAAATGAGCATGATGGTCCCTTTTGGCCTTAAAGTCTGAGTCTATATGGCTCTTTGAATCTTTCCTCAGAATTTTCAGCCCTGTATATTTATGGCTTCCTTCCATCCTGTGCTCTTTCATATCTGAAGGCCCCTCCCCCAGCCTAAGGGGAGGGAGGGAACTACTGAACCAGGGGCTCAAACAAGTGGAGGAGAGGGAAGCAAATAATAAAACAGAGACAGGCTAGAGGGTCAAAGGGTCATAAGTGGGGAGCCAGAATGGGGATGAAGCAGTTTGAACCGCTTACCCATCAGACCGCAGAATCGATCAAAGGTTCTGGGAATCCTCGTCTGGGGATTGACTTCAATGAGAACATTCTTCTGGGTGTGGATGTAAACCTGCAGCAGGCCAGCCCGGTTCAGGGGACTGTCCATGAGCATCAGGAGGCTCTTAAGAGAGAAAGCACACAATGGGGGAAGCACATGACACCAGAGAATTTGATGTTAAAAGGAAGGATCAACTCTCAGATATCAGGGTCTGGGCACAGTGAGCAGGAAGGGACTATTCTGTTGAGGAAGTGGTGAGAAAAGGATCCAAAAAGGCACAGTGGCTCTGCTGCAGCAGAATTTAAAAAAGATGGGTGTTTACGTGGGCAATGTGATTTACAAACTTAAAAGAAAAATCTTTGGAAGGGCCAATCCTGCTTCAAGGAACAAGCTGATCTGTTGTTATGGGGAGTCCAGAGAAAACGTTCCCTTTTGGGTGGCTTTTGCATAAGCGCCTCCTGCAGGAGCTGATTGCTGGCACAGCGACCTGGCCCTTCCTAGGACCTGCACAACGGGGGTCGTACCTGGTGTGTGATGTCGGGCCTCACCTCCCCCGGGTCCCGGCCACTTCGCAGCAGCAGCGATTTGTGTTTGTCGCAGTTCAGCAGCTCGTACGTCTTTCCAACCTGCAACCAAAGAGACGAGGAGAGAGTGAGGACAAGGCGGGTCACGGTGAGTCCCCGCCAGGCCCAGCCCCGTTCCCCGGCACCTTCACGGTCTCCAGACTCGCTCCCTCGAGAAGTATAAGAAGCCGCCGCCGCTGCCCCAGGGGCCGCTTCGTCGCCGGGGCCATCTCTGCCGCCGCGTCCCCTGCTGGTCTCCGGAGCTGCCGCGTGGGCGCCGCCATCTTAGAAGCGGAAGCGGCGTCACAGCTACGGCTCGTGCTCTTCTAAACCGGGGCCTCGCGCTTCCCCCAGCGGCGCGGAGAGAGAGCCTAATAATCGGCCATATTCCTAGCACTTCCGGTGTGCGAAAGGCTGCTTCCGGTAAGAGAATCTAAACATTGATGTCACGTGCCCTGTGTCCGGATATTTACCCTCCCCGCGGCGAGGGTTGTTTCCGTCCGCTATCTTTGAAGCGGGCACGGCCTCTACCCGGTTGCTTTTTTTAATCTCAGGGCGCCGTGTGGGAAAAAGGTAGACCCGTTTCCGGTCACCGGTTCCAGTCGGAGGGATTAGAAAACGGACACTTCCGGTGTCCTTTCTCCCTCTTCCTCCTCCTGTAGCGGCAACGTGGGGGCAGGTGAGGGCTGGTGAGGGGAGCGCGGGCTGAGCTCCCAGCCGTAGAGGAGTCCGCGACGGGGCCCAGGGAAGTGACGGGGCGGTTTGGGGGAGGGGGACTGTCTGTCTGTCTGATTTACGCGGCTGCCTATCTGTCCGTCCGTCCGTCCCGCAGCGCCCGACCGAGCTCCCCATGGCCCAGAACCTGAAGGACTTGGCGGGGCGCCTTCCCGCCGGGCCGCGCGGGATGGGCACCGCCCTCAAGCTGCTGCTGGGAGCCGGCGCCGTCGCCTACGGGGTCCGCGAGTCGATCTTCACCGGTGAGTTCGACTGGCCCCGTTCTCCGCACACCTGCCCCATGTTCCACTTCCCCCCCGGCCCTGCCCGCGCTCCACCCCCGGCCCTGCCTGACTGCTGCCCGCTCTCCCCACAGTGGAAGGAGGCCAGAGGGCGATATTCTTCAACCGCATCGGTGGGATCCAGCCAGACACGATCCTGGCGGAGGGGCTGCACTTCAGGTAAGGAGGCAGAGGTGCTTGGGGGGAGGGGACTTATGGGGTTTTATCCACATCCTTAGATTCCTTTTGAGCCAATTTGCTCTTGCAGGTAAAAGATCATTTTCCTCGTTCAAACCAAGATTTTCACTGCTACCCCCAATAAGTTCTTTCTTGGAAAAGCAGCCTTAATCTCAGGAGCAGAGACATTCTTGTAGTTCCTAAATCCTAATTTAAAACAATCTCCTATCTAAAGATCCTGCTGTAATCCCGAAAGGACCTGTGCTGCTGACAGAGCTTTGCAGGGTACCAGCCACATGGCAGCAGCAAAGTTGGGAACTTGTAGCAATGAGGTGGCAACATCACAGCTAAATTGAGATTGTAAAATAACTGTATCACATGTGACACACCCACTTTCTGGATTTAAAAAATAGGGAGAGAATACAAAAAATCCACTTGTTGTAATGTCATCATCAAAACAGGAAAAAGTTAAAGTTTTTAGCAGAAAACATCTGAGGTAACAACTCAGCTGCCCCATTAGTACTGATCTACCTATGGTACTTCTGGGGGTTTAGTCCCCATTACTGTAGAACTTAAGCTCCTCGTATCACAATCTTTGATGTATTTATCCTCACTATGCCCCTGTGAGGCAAGACGATGCTATTATCCCTGTTTTACAGTCTGGGAACTGAGGCACACAGAGACTGACTTGCCCACGGTCATGCAGGAAGGCTGTGGTAGAGAAGGCGTTTGTGGTCTTCCAGGTCCTAAACTAATGCCCTAAACATGGTTTCATTCTTCTCCAATATTTATTCAGTCCTTGGATTCACTGTTCCCCCTGCCTCCTGTTGCACACATGTACACTCTCCGTCCTAATCTCCTTTCCCTCCTTCGTGATACCTCTGATTGTATAACATGTGATTTTGTCCTTGGTTTTTCAGAATCCCCTGGTTTCAGTATCCAATAATTTATGATATCCGAGCTCGACCCCGAAAAATCTCCTCCCCAACGGGCTCCAAAGGTGAGACCATCTACTTGACCAGGACAGGAGAA